TCAATTTCTCTTGCTTTCTCCTACTCTTGCTTGCCCATTGCCTTTGCATGCATGGGTATTTATAGTGAAAAATCCAACTACCCATGCACCATTTTTCTTTGCCTCATTACCACCCGGCCAAGATTTTCTCTGCCCATTAAATGGGTCAACATGCAATCTTTGAAAGATTTCAACAAATCAATCTAGCCCACAATTGGCTTATAGGCCGGTGAAGCAAACTTCCACATGGAAAGTCCATGTGTTCACATGCATGGGGTTGGACTTTCTTCCAACAATCTCCCCCTCCAACCCCATGGGAGGAGAAACCAACCATGACTCCAACTCCCCCTGCTTAAGAGCACTTTATCATGGTGTCCTATTTTTGAAAGTTTCCTTCTAGTATAGGATAGGACAAACCTACACTAGGTGTACTATGGAAATTAATTTTGAACCAAAATATGATTCGAGGGAAAATAACACCTCCTCGAACCATCATCAAACACCACTTCATTGTTGAAGCTCACCTTCTTCTTGGTCTTATTAATTTCCTTGCCATCTACCAAGATCCCTTTAGGCTTCCACACCATCTTCCTCATGGTTTTGTTGAGCCTTCTCTTGGGATGTTGCTCAAGCACATAGATGTTGTGCTTGTTCTTCCTCCCATGCAAGACAAGTCTTCCACCTTTGTAGACCTTGCGCCATTCTTGTTTTCTGACATACTTGCACCCTCGTGTTGTCAACTCACTCAAAGCAATAATGTTGCTGGAACACTTGAGCACATATCTCACATTCTTGAGAATCTTGGCTCTCCCATTGTGAACATTGAGACAAACATCTCCTATGCCTTCAATATTCACCTTCTCGCCGGTAGCCACCGTTATTTTGCCAAGCTCCCCCCGAACCAAACTCCCAAATTCCGAAGGATTATTGCACACATGCATGGTTGCAGTGGAGTCCAAAATCCATCTTTGATTGTTTTGCTCCACCTTAGTATCACACTTTTCACAAGCTAATACTTCAACCATATTCTCTTCAACAATATTAGCCTCCCCCTTGCCCTTGGTTTCTTGACTTTTCATCAATATTTTCATATTAGAAAAGTCCTCCTTAAACTTCGGGCATTTATACTGTTTGTAACACAACTCACCACAATAAAAACACTACACTTCACCATAATCCTTCTTAGGTCTGGATTTCGACCTTTCTCGATTTCCTCCACCTCCACGTCCATTGGATCTTCCCCGAGAGTGCTCCATCACCAAAGCATTAGTTCGATTGGCACCATCATCCTCCCCAAGAAACTTATCATTCTCCAACAACATGGATGTGACATTTTTCATCACCAAAGTAGTCTTACCCACTAGCATACTCTGCACTAGGGACTTGTAAGACTTTGGCAAGGATGCAAGTAAAAGCAAGGCCTTCTCCTCTTCTTCTAGAATGTCCCCGGCATTCACTACTTTTGTCACCATCATGTTGAAATCAAATAAGTGCTTATGAATATTTGTGCCTTCTACCATCTTCAATTGATATAGCTCCATCTTTAAACACAGCCGATTGGTTAAAGATTTTGAAGCATATATCTCTTCAAGCTTTCTTCACATGCCTATTGGAGTAGTCTCTGAAAGGACATTGTATTTTACCTCCGGTGCAAGCGCCAGCCGAATTTGACTTGCTGCCTTCTTTTGGATAGTACTCCAATCACTATCCCTCACCTCAGCTAGCTTGGTCTCTTTTAAAGCTGCATCAAGTCCTTGACAAGTAAGGACATCCTTCACAATGCTTTGCCATAGAGCAAAGTCATTTTTGCCATCAAACAACTCAATTGAATACTTCATGGCTTCAGTTTGCTTTTCGCCACAACACCAGGAGCTCTACCACTAACTCTGATACCACTTGTTGGGAATTTCGAGCACCACAATTCCACACAAACGGAAGCGATAAAGAAATTGAGACAATAATTTAACGTGGTTCGACTTGTACACCTCTCAACAAGTCTACGTCCACGAGAAAGAGAGAAATAAATCCACTATTAAAAAAAAGAGTACAATAATTTAGAAGCTCTCTCACTCAAGAAGCACTCAATACCCTAGCTTCAATGTATAGAAGCTCCCAAATTCTCCCTAATACTCCCTCTTAATCTACACAAGGATTTCTCACAATTTCTCTCTTTCTTTTCTCTCACAAAAGCTCTCACTCAATTTCTCTTGCTTTCTCCTACTCTTGCTTGCCAATTGCCTTTGCATGCATGGGTATTTATAGTGAAAAATCCAACTACCCATGCACCATTTTTCTTTGCCTCATTACCACCCGGCTAAGATTTTCTTTGCCCATTAAATGGGTCAACATGCAATCTTTGAAAGATTTCACCAAATCAATCTAACCCACAATTGGCTTATAGGCCTGCGAAGCAAACTTCCACATGGAAAGTCCATGTGTTCACATGCATGGGGTTGGATTTTCTTCCAACAATGTTGACATTCCCCTGTTATGATCCGTTGGTGGTCACTGCAGTCCAAAGGGTTGTCGGTGAATTGCACTTCGATCAGTGGTCGAACTTTGTCAAAAAATAAAATACTAACTTTTAACTCTTAACTCTTAACTCCTAACCATTACTCCCGTAAAAAAAAAAAAAAAAAAAAAAAAAAAAAAAAAAAAAAACATGAATGTTGACTTATATTCGTTAGGTGAGGCAGGTGCATGTCCTTTTCTATACTGGTGCTTGTGTAGGAGTATGTTATTTACCTAGTCCATTTGTAGTGATTGCTTTTGGGGGCATATCATAGAGGGATGCTTGCGGGTTATGATTTATGAGTGAAAGCAGACAAACGAGAAGTTGACAGCGCATAGCTGCGAGGGTTTAATTTAATTTAATTATTGGCTTATTCACTATTAATTTTATTTTACTGTAACTTAAAAATTAGTTTTTTAAAATAGTTTATAAATTTTATATAATATTTTAGAATAATCTAT